GCTCCAAACGGTCCAAACAAGCTGTGCATATCCGGCCTCAAACTGGGCAATGTTTTGGAAGCTTTCGTCTGTGAAATGCCGGTTCTTCGAACCTCTGGAGGAGGAACACGCCGCTGCTGGTGTGGCCATAGCTCTTCGGGATTGGTCCATTTCGTTCCGGGTACCGCATGACATCAGGCGGTACCCAGAACTAAATGGAAGACTCAAATGGGCAGTGACGTATCTCCAACGAGGCGTTTTGGGGAGGTATTTTCTGTGTTAGAGTTTTACTCGCTACAGGGTGTACTTTGAGGGTTTTGACTCTGCACACCGTTTACATGCATAAAAACCTTCATAACACACAAGGGGACGGGTAATAACCGGAAAAGCATGACATGGGAGCTTTAAAAAGACATTTCAACCACTGACTTTGTCGTGGTTCTTCCGTCGGTAGGACAAACAGCTCAGATTTCTCCTCACATTTCAGGAAACAGGTCCTTGGCAGTGGCATGACTGGATCGATTGTGAACTGAACCAGAGCTTCCAACAGTAAATGTTAGGCTGGCAGAGGGTGCGGCCAGCGCCGCTGGGTGTGGCCATAGCTCTTCGAGATTGGTCCATTTTGTTCCGGGTACCGCATGACATCAGGCCGTACCCGGAACTAAATGGAAGACTCAAATGGGCAGTGACGTATCTCCAACGAGGCGTTTTGGGGAGGTATTTTCTGTGTTAGAGTTTTACTCGCTACAGGGTGTACTTTGAGGGTTTGTGACTCTGCAGACCGTTTACATGCAGAAAAAGCTACATAACACACAAGGGGACGGGTAATAACCGGAAAAGCATATGATGGGACTTTTAATGCAGGAATTGTACTTGTAATATAGTATTCCTACACTGTAGTATTCAGGGGCGTGCGCAGACATTTGGAGGGGCTATTGCTCTAAACTGGAAAAAGGGCCTCCCCCCGAAAAAAATAATAAGACCAAAACGATTATTACATTAACTAATTTGAACAGTAATTCACATCATCATCTCATAACAAAATAAGCTAAGGCAACTACTTGCATTCGGTGACTTGATTTTTTAAATGAAAACCAGGGACATTTTTTGTTTTGGGGTCCATATCTCATTAAAATATCTAATGTTAGTAACTATTAAAGAAAAAATGGGGACAATTCAATGTACTGTAGTTTGACCATTGCAGACATACTGATAAAATAGGGCTTCTATAATTACCTTAAATAAACTCACTAATTAATGAAACCAGTTCAATACACATTATTCTTAGTCTTATCATTCTTTATGAGCGCAGTAACGGTAAGGTATCTAATTACTTGTTTATTTAGTATTCCATAACTTAATAACAGAGATGGTCAAATTAAAGTAGAGACATGGCAGAAATCCTACAATGAAGCGGGCAGTGAAGTGTTCTCCTGTGAGAGAGAACAGATGGTGGAGGTAAACGGTACTCTGTCCCCCCCCCTCCCAGTGAGCTGTGGTGTTCCACAAGGAAGCATATTAGGTCCGTTACTGTTCCTAATTTATGCAAATGACATGTCATCAGCATGTGACTGCAACTTGTTCCTGTTCGCGGACGACTCAGCCCTGCTGGTCTCTGACAGGAGCAGATTGCAGGTTGAAAAAACCCTCAGCTCCGAGCTCGGCAGAATCTGCACCTGGCTAGCCGATAATAAATTATCATTACACCTGGGTAAAACAGAGTCCATTCTCTTCGGTTCGAAACATAATCTCAGCAAATCCGACGACTTCTCAGTTGCAGTGGGTGACATTATTGTCACAAGTAAGAAGGAAATTACATACCTAGGATCTATTCTTGAGGCAAACCTCTCCTGTGACAAAATGGCATCCAATGTAATAAAAAAAGTCAATCAAAGAACTAGATTCCTATACCGGATCTCCTCTCTGGTAAACAAAAACACCCTGAAAACTCTGGCAGGAGCACTCATTCAAGGGTACTATGACTATGCTTGCACGTCATGGTACCATAGCACCTCCAAGGCGCTAAAAATAAAACTTCAAACATCGCAAAATAAACTGGTCAGACTACTGCTTGACCTTTCATCTAGAACCCACCTCACCTCTGCCCACTTTGACAACCTAGGATGGCTTAGAGTAGACGACAGAGTACAGCTACTTGCAATGGGCCTGGTCTACAAGATCCACTACACCTCTATGGTACCCATGTACATGTCAAAATTCTTCCCAAAGGTCAAGGAATACCATGATCATAACACCAGAGGGAGCTCCACAAATCATGTAAAACCCAGATTTGGCACAAAAAAAGGGGAATACACGTTTCGCAATTATGCCACATCAAGGTGGAACGCTCTTCCCACAACTGTAAAGGAAAGTAAAACTATACTTACCTTCAAAACCTCTCTTAAAGAGCACCTTCGGGGGAAAGCATTGCAAAACTGGCCCCGGTAATGGTACAAATCTCAACCTGTCGTACAATGGACAGCTTCCCCCCCCCCATCTATGTATATACTCGCATTTTAGACTCTGTTACTAACTGTATATCTGTAGACTTGGTATGTCTTAAAATGTCCTGTTAGGATGTATTAGAACGAAATCTAAAATGAAAATTGTAAATAAGCCATCTGTATGTAAAAAACCACCTGTATGTAAATTGTAAATAAGCCATCTGTATGTCAAATATGTCTTATATGTCTTAAATGATATGATGAATTGGAAATGGGGGACCCTGATGTAAACAAGACGAAAGTCTTTCTCTGGTCTGCATCCCCTTAACAATTGTATGTTTTGAGCTGTACTGTACTGTACCCAATATACAAGCTGTTAATAAACTTTTCAATCAATCAATCAAGAGAGGGCGATCAAGAAAAGAGAGCGAGCGGCGGGTTGAGGGAGTTTACCATGGATGTTTAATAGGAGTTTACGGAGCAGATGGAAAGACACAGAAAGACAGAAGCACAATAACAAGTATATGTAGGTGTGTTTTTGTAAATAACCGACGGTGTCAAGAGGAAGTAAAGTCCCTGCCATGACAAAACTCAAAATCCATTTTCCAAAATCCGACACTGGTGGTCTTAACGCACCGGCACCAATACAGTAGCCTATAATCAATATTATATATACCTAACATGTGTAATCACACACTTAGCGATATAGAACATAAATAATAAAAACGTAGGCCTACCTGGTTTAAAAGACTTTTGTGGTCATACTGTGGAATGAGTTCACACTGAAACGAGTTCTTCATTCAAAATTTCGCGGGCAATTACATGTAAGAAGAAGGAGAAGAAGAAGAAGAAAAATAAGTAGTAGAAGAAGAATGAAGCTGGTGTGTTTCCCGCAGCGAGACACTACAATACTAATTGTGGGCTTATCATGTTGATTCGACCACAACAGAAAGAAGAAGAAAAACCTCTCGCTCTCTCCAGAGGGGCAGGTCTGCCAAAAAGGGGAAACGGGCCGTTGCCCGGGCAACAATAGCCCGTACCTGTGCACGTCCCTGGTAGTATTGCTACTTTTACTAAATAATCTGAGTACTTCTTCCACCTCTGACTGTATAAAGGGTCCAAAATGAATATGGCGCAGTAATGGACTTGTCCCAGAGGGGGGCAGCAAAGCATCATACCCAGTCAAAACACCAAAGAAGAAGAAGATGCTTCCGTCGTCAGGCTACAAGGAAGTGGAGAAGAAAATATTTCAAACAGAATATTACAGGATTGCTGGGAATATGCAAAATTCCAGGGACGTGGGTTTGGCTGGACGAGTAAGGAGAGAACGAGGGCATATGGAGTGGACAATATCACGTTTGCTAAAGCAACCCCATTTAGCAGTGTTCCCCCATGGCTTTTCCCAGAAGCTAAAATAGATATGAGTATTGTAGAAAGGAAAAAAGAGTGGCAAGTAAATGAAGTGGGAATTAAAACAAGTATGTATCTGAATGAAAAGTATTACAATTGCCTACAAATTTACACAGATGGTTCTAAGAACAAGGAAGAGTGTGTTGGAATTGGTATATACATCCCAGAATTTAAAATATCTATTGCAAAAAGAGCGTCTGATCAATTATCAGTGTACACAGCAGAAATGCTGGCAGTAATAATAGGATTACAGTGGGTTGAAGAGGTCAGACCAGATAGGGTGGTGATGTGCACAGATTCATTGTCCATATTACAAAGCATACAATCAACAGCAACTGCCAGAGAAGACATTCTCATAGAACTGAATCATAGCCTGTTAAGACTGCACAGAGGCGGCATAGATCTGCAGTTCTGCTGGGTGCCTGCACATGAGGGGGTGAAAGGGAACGAGTGTGCTGATAAATTAGCAAAAAGTGCACTACAAAAGGAAATAACATTACCAGTTCAACTTGGAAAAGGAGAAGGAAAAGCAGTAATTAAGAAGAAAGGGATGGAGATCTGGCAGAAAAGGTGGGAGAAAGACCAGAAAGGCAAAGAATATCACAAAGTACAAAAGACAATTACAATTCATATTTATAAAGAAAGAAACAGAAGGGAGGAAATCACGATCGCTAGACTCAGAATAAATCACACAGCATTGAATGGTACTCTGTATGTCATGGGGAAAAGTGACAGTGACAAGTGTGGGAGCTGTGGAGTAAAAGAAGATGTAGAACATATCTTGATACATTGTGACATATATAAAGCTGAAAGAGAAAAACTAAAGGCTAAAGTTTTAGAGGCAGAGAGGGAATGGAGTGTGGTTGGTATTTTGGGAACAAAAGGAGAGGGAGTAAGAGCTACCAGAAAGGCACTGTTTACATTCTTGAGTGAAACTGGGGTAGGAAAAAGAATTTAACATTAGGTCAAGAAAGAACATAGATTTTTATTTTTGTTTTATTTATTTCATGTTTTGTTTTTTGTTTTTTGTTGATTTATTTATTTATTTTGATTAGATCATAGTTAAAGAGTTGGTATGATATGATGATTCATACTCATGTACAGTAGGTGGCGGTATGCACCTTTTAAGTTGTTTGCAATCCGCCAAAAAACGAAGAGAAGAAGAAGAAGAAGATGCTTCCGTCCTTTTCCGGTTTGGGTATCAGCTAAATGAAAATACGACAGCACTGAGACGGAAAACCAATTTTTGACTCATTTTCGGCGAGACAATGTGTAAGTTAAATTTGGGTTTATTTCCCCCTTTCATCTGATGACAGTTAGCTTGTTAGGGTAGCTTGACCGTACCGTCATAGTGTGGTTTTACTACCTTTAGCTAAGCTAGCTGTGAGCTATGCTAGCTAAAAACACTGCACAGACACCAGATGTAGAGCTCTTCATTCAAATGAACCGATAACTAAGTGCATGGCAGTTTAAACACCTACATTAACACAGTTATCTTGGAACTAGGTTTGAGACCGTAACGTAACCAGTGGAGTAAAGTAACTAAGTACATTTATTGAAGTACTGTACATAAGTACAATTTTGAGTATTTCCATTTATGCTACTTTGTACTTTTACTCCACTACATTTATTTAGTGAAGTACTAGAGTTACTTTACAGATGTGGATGAATGATGTGAAATATAATCAAGCGTTAAATCAGACTGTAGTTCCACCTGGATTAAATTCACAAGCTACCCTGCAGTATACAAAGTCATTCAAACTAGCTGCTCCTTTACCAGCTTTGAGAACACTTTAATGATCAGTCATTATAAAACATCATATATATTATTCTGAAATGGACCAATCTGCACAATGACTACTTTTACTGTCGCTACTTGAAGTATATTTTGATGCCAATACTTTTGTACTTTTACTTGAGTAACATTTACAATGCAGGACTTTTACTTGTAACAAAGTATTCCTACACTCTGGTACTTCTACTTTTACTCAAGTACAAGATCTGAGTACTTCTTCCACCTCTGAATGTCACATAGCCATTATCAGAGGGATTGTGCTGTGAAACGGTTGTATTAAAGGCAGTTTGTGTTTCCTTGCAGCTGTGGCCATGAGTTCCACGTGCCCGGGCCTGTACTGTGGCAGGATGCTGATCAATGGCTCGGTGGAGGGGGAGTGTGGTGTGAGTACTGACCATCAGAGTGTGTCTGCTGCTGGGTAACGGGGGGTAACATTGGTTGTCATTCATGAATGCAATGCACCAGAGCCGGTGCTGTTGTAATGTTGGTGAAGCTTTCAGGTTGTTGTCCCGTCTGCTCAGATGAGGTGCTTCACTGTAGACAGAGGGACATATATCTAAGATCAATGTTAATGCTGTGTTACTGCACATACTTGCACCTCACCATTTCTAAGATCTAGCTAAATATATATAATTCATTTGTTAATTCAATAAGCCAATAAACATAGCATACATATAAGATACAGCGGCACTCTGCAGGATGTCATTTTTTTGCTAAGCACACACACGCATGCACCGATCATTCCAAAGCGATAAAAGTAAAATACCTCTTTGGATGAAATGTTTAAATTTGAGCCACAAAAAATGAAAATAATCTAGAATTATTATTATTACTTTTCATTTTAGGCTTCATGTCACATGAGATGCAACAAAGGCCCCACAGCTGTAATGGAACTGTGGACACTGTGGTTATATGGCAGGCTAACAATTCATCTTGAGCAGGGGTGCCCAAACTACGGCCCGGGGGGGGGGCGGCCTATCGTCCATTTTTAATTGGCCCGCAGCAAATTTTAAAAGTATAATAGAATATGGCCCAAACATGAAACCTGTGCTTTTTTTATATTGTACTTCTTGAATATATATGTAAACATATATTACACAGTAGTATTCATGTGTTAATAAGCGTAGTTTCAGATAAAGTCAGTCAATCTTAGTTGATAAAAATGCCCATTAACTTATTTATATAGTAAGCTTGAAATAGACCCTTCATATTTCCCCTCATTATAATCAATCTGAGGCCTCTGTTTTAAGGGATGAGCTGGTAACAGCTTTTGTAACAAAATAAATGAAACCCTCAGGAGAGCTATGATGTAGGCTGTTTGTTTCTTAAAGTCAATACAAGTATCAAGCATCATTTACCTACATATGATTGATTTTGCTCATTTCTAACTTAATGTATGAGGCAGTATACCTCCTCTGGGGAGGGGCCCAGCCTTTGGTATGTTTTTCTATATGTGGCCCTCAGTGGAAACAGTTTGCACACCCTGACCTACAGGCACACAACACAGTGAAATGCATAAATGTTGTTGGGGGCTTGCAGGGCTTCTGTTGTTTCTGAGCATGCCGTCTCTGTGTGTCCTGCAGGTGTGTCCCCGTGGAGAGCGGACTAACCTCCAGAATGTGTGTGAGCGCTGCACCGAGGCCCCCGAGCTCTACGACTGGCTCTACCTGGGCTTCATGGCCATGTTGCCTCTAGTGCTGCACTGGTTCTTCATCGAGTGGTACTCTGGGAAGAAGAGGTACACACACACACACACACACACACACACACACACACACACACACACACACACACACACACACACACACACACACACACACACACACACACACACACACACACACACACACACACACACACACACACACACACACACACACACACACACACACACACACACACACACACACACACACACACACACACACACACACACACACACACACACACACACACACACACACAGTCAAGGATCATGTACAGCCAGCTGGTCATAATTGTGACATTTACCTTATTGTTAGGACCATGATGCAAAGCTATATTCAAATAGAATGGAATTATAGGAGATTTTCTCTTTTTTCAAACCAAATATTTTTGGGCCGCCAGTGTCTTTATTGTTGTTGTTGTTATTATTATTATATTTGGGCCAGTTGGACCGTCATTAGAGTGATAGATTTGAGAAGGGGACATAGAGGGGATTGCACGCATAAAGGGATCCCAGGCCTGATTGGAACGGCCAGCTGTACCAAGTGAGCGATGCAGCGACTCGTTACACCAGGTTTTTCTCTGAGGATCGATGCATTGATGTGTACAGTACCCTTCTATTCTTGGGGAGAAAAGGTGAATGTGAATTAGCAGTTAGTTGAATATGTGAGTGCACATTCACAGTGTGACCTGTACCTGTACCTGTGCCTGACTGAAGGTCTCACAAGACACTAAATAAGACTACCAGTTTGTAACTAAACCAGTAGGACTTCTGGTTGACTCCATTTAGCTTCAGAATCAGACTTCACATCTTTGTGTGTGCACATCATTTGTGCATTAAAGGGATTCAAAGCCAAACTGTGGAGAAGTACCGTTCCTTCAGAAGAGATGTATTATTAGTACCACATTGAGTTTAAAAAACAAAATCTTTGCTATGGTTTGTCATTATTTGACACATTAGAGGAGTTTAGTGTAAAGCCAGATCAGCAGCACACACAGCGACTTACGGGCCGTCTCCACAGCAGCGTTAAAAAATCTTGAAACGCTTCTGCCCATTCACTTTGAATGGGGTGACGTCACTTTCCCTCACTTTTCGCCGAAATGCATTGTGGGCAGGCGAGCGGAGATTTTGAGGATTTTGAGGATTCAAAGTTGAACAATGTTCAACTTTTGAAGCTGAGGTGGAAGCGGCAGCCAATCAAATCCCGTGTACGCAAATCTGACCGTTCAAGCTCTAGCCAATCAAACGGCGTGTATGCTGGGAGAGACACCGCAGGTCATTTCCTCATATTCCAAAAAATGGAGGAGAAATTAGCGGTAGCGAATCAATCACCCGGTGCTTTATGACCAGACCTACCGGGATATAAACCGGAGGAGCCAGGCATGGAGGGAGGTGGCAGAGACAGTGGTATGTTTTCGCCTGTTTTGGGGAGTTTATATCCAGTTTACTTCGGGCTTTTTGGCTTCGTATGTCGCGGGCGGGAGATTCATGTGATTGGTTGTTCGCAAAAAATCCCCAAGCTTCAGATACGCCCACCTCCAAGATTTTTTTAACGCTGCTGTGGAGACGGTCCGTTACTGTATCAGTCATTGAAGTCACCTTCAGGCAAGCAGGCAGGTTTTCAGCAAACCTGGTTTCATAAAGGCTAATTCAGTACTTGATACAAACTACAGGAAATGCATTTTCACCATTTCATTTTGAATACAATAAGGAAGTGAAACAGACCACCATGATAACTGTGTGTGGTCCAGTTCCAGCGCGCTGCTGCAGCACATCACAGCCATGTTGGAGTGCAGCGTGTCGGCCGTGGTCACTCTGCTGGTGACGGAGCCGGTGGGCCAGGTTCGCATCCACTCCTGCAGGGTCCAGATGCTGTCCGACTGGTACACCATGCTGTACAACCCCAGCCCCGACTACGTCCACACACTGCACTGCACCCAGGAGGCCGTGTACCCGCTGTGAGTGATCACTGCACTGGGTTATCCTACAGACACAATATACACCCACACATAGTTTGAACTGCATTCAAACTACATCAGTGTATACATCTTTATGTATTCAACTCTCTTAAAAAAGGTCTTGCAAAAAGGAATAGGAACAGTTGAGTGAATAAAATACATAACAAATCACAAATGTAAACCTTCTTTTTGGAGTGTGAATGTTGTGCCTGGGCTCATGGGACTGACGTATAAATCGATGTTATTTTGATGTTTTTCCTATTTCTTTCGTTATTTATAACTATTTTGAAAGAGATAAATATCATTCAAATATATTATTGAAATTAGTAAAAAGGTAACACTCGCGCTTCTATAGAGTGGCGAAGTCCCTCCCACTTACTTCCGGGGTATGGGACCTTATTTCGGAAAAATTATGCATTGAAGTCAATGGGGAGAGAAAACTTATCTTTCGATCCCGTTTGAATTGTGCCATGAATTACACATATGATGTTTGTCAATCTTAAAAAATCATTTCCATGTCAAAAAAGTCACAGTTTGTCGTAAAACTGTTGAAATATAAGACTATGAAAAATACGTAACTAGAAAGACTACAAATCCCAGAGTCGCGTAAGTGATGTCACAATTGTTTACCTCCACCATTCAGATACCTAAGATCAGCGCAATATAGATATAATCTATCTATATGGCGCTGGCTAAGATAAGATAACTTTAACAAGATGCCTGTGTGCTTAGTACCAGGTTGTTATCATACCAGCAATGGGTCTTGCTCGTTCTTTCGCTTCCCGTCTGATGAAACGACCAGGAGTGGCTTGATCAAGTTAGCTACATAGCTAGTAGCTAGCACGTTAGTTAGCATTACAGCCTTGTCATTTTTATTAGCCTTAACATGAATTAACATTAAGTAACCCAAAATGTTAAACAGTAAGAGTAGTAGTCATATTTCGTGAACCCTTTGAATAGTACTGTCACCGGTGTGATCATTCTATAATACACAATTTAAGCCCGGGGGAGAAATGCTAACGCTAACGTTAGCATCGGCGATCTTTTCTACTTCATGCTATCTGCACAAATGGTTGACATTAAACATTAAAACGACCAGGCAGTTCAGAGAGAATCAAAGGAAGGCAGGCAGGCAGCTTTGCATGACATTCTTCAGGACGTGTTTCATTGTGGTGATAGTCAATCGTTTGTTGACATGACAGTAGTGACGGCCATCTTGGTGACGTGTGTGGTTGACCAGAGATGTAGTTCATTAGCCGCGTTCACACCGGAGTACTTTCACCGTACTTTTCGCGTTTTAGTTCCGTGAGTCGCGTTCACACCAAAAATCGTACTTAATCTCGGGTACTTTTACCCCCATTTTTAGAGCCAACTCAGAGAGCGTACTTTTCTGTGGGTGAAAAGTTCTCCAAAAGTGCCCCAGTGCTGATTGGCTGGGCGAATTGCAAACCACGCCCGTACAACTCTGAAAATGTTGTGTAGAGCCGCCATTGTTTTTCCTCGCTACAAAAACAACGCTCCGTGCGTTGTGTTTGTTTTTGAAAGCAGTTATGGCAAGCATCAAGAAATGATGAGGAGGTGTCGGCGCTTCTGGAGATCTACGCAGAGGACGCGACCCAGGGAATGCACTGAAGCCAGTTCAGTAGCTTTCACTCGACCTGGGAATGTGCACAGCCCCACGGCACACCGGCTAAAAATAAAGAAACTCAGGCAGGACTACAAACGGCGGATTCAGTGGCCAACGATGACGACCACGACGAAGGTAAAATCAACTACATGCACTGGGGTTTTAATCTGCACAATAATGGTCTCAGATGTACTTTTATTTGCTCAGTAGATCAAGCTAGCCATGCTAGCCATAATAGGCTAACACCGGCCCCGAGCACACAGTACACACACACTGTAACTTTGTCTTGAAAGAACGTTACGCATCGAACTGATGTTCACAATCATGTTTATTTCATAATATTCATCATATTTTATGTTTAACTTGCCTCAACAACATTAAACAAAGTTCAAGCATACATGAAGCACTCTTCAAAAAGGAACAATCCTCCGTGTTTGAACCTCTTAAATCGCTGCATAGCCGATTTATTTGGACTGGATTATCCCAGAGGGTCTAAACATTCTTTATAACACAGTTTCAGATTTGTGAAACCTTAATTCTATTTGTGAAAATACAAAAAACACATTCCTAGTATGTTGTAAAACTACATGGCGACTAAACTTGTATATTGCTTATTTTCCCCTCTTAGGAAAGCGGACACGGGATGCGAATTTCTTTGACACCGCCCAGGCGTTGGAGGACCGGCGTGCCGTGGTGAAAGAGTCGCTGCACGGGGATCAGATGGTGCTGTTCACCAAGGCCCAGGAAACGGAGGACAAGATGCTCACCTCGATGGAGCGCCAGGCAGAAGTGTTCAAGCAGCAGATGGAGCGCCAGCAGCACCAGGATGAAGTGTGGGCGCTGCGCCATGAGGAAGCGTCGGCGCAGCGGCAGGATGAGCGACAAACTGCATTTAATAACAGTTTATTTGGTATAGTTTTTGTAAATACTGACACACGACGTTGCACTAAGGTGTGCATGCTGCTGGGAATATCCCTACACCTGGGACAGTTTATTTTATATTGTTATTACTGTTATGACTTTATTTTATATATAATGTTTACTGACATGTACAACTGACACTTTATTTACATTTAAAATTGTTCTATTTAATGTTATGTCTTGAGAGTGCAATAAAGAAAACCGACATGGCGATTAAGCTTATTTCTCCTGACACTTTATCTTTAGTGACCTGTGTAGCATCCTATACATCACATGTAAGTGATTATTCTGATACCATCATGTTTCATCGGTTATAAACTGGCAAAGCTTTATTTGTCATTTATTTATCATCAATGTTGCAACCTTGTGGGGGAATGGCAGGGGCACATACACAAATATGATAATTTATATCATTTTAAATATTATTTGACCTAAACTTTTAATTCCCCCCCATTTCACACAACACAACATGGAGTCCACTATGGGGCAAAACTAACATGTATGTTTGCATAGTGTTTATGGCAGACGGATGCAGTGGGTCTCAGGAAGATATATAATAAAGGTGGGTTTGCTGCTGAGACTCCCTACAGCTGGGAGTTTATTTTATATTGTTATTACTGTTATTATATAGTACAACTGACACTTTATTTTATATTGACAATGTTTACTGACATGTACAACTGACACTTTAGTTACATTTAAAATATTTCTATTTAATGTTATGTCTTGAGAGTGCAATAAAGAAAACCGACATGGCGATTAAACAGATCCTGTATCAGTTTTTCTTCTTCTCTTGTTTTGTAGCGGGTTGCAAACAACTTTAAGGTGCTTACCGCCACCTACTGTACTTGTAATCTTCCCTCAGGGAAAAGTACTCCGGTGTGAACGCGATCTGTACTAAGTACCCTGGGGTTAAAAGCGCCAGGGCTCTTAGTGCCGGAACTAAGTACAGGAAAGTATTTGGTGTGAACGCGGCTATTGAGCGTTTCACACAAACAAATGTGTTACTTCACAGTTTTACGACACATTTTTTTTTTTTTGACTTGCAAAATTATCTTTTAAATTGACAAACATCATACGTGTAATTCGTGGCACAATTCAAACGGGATCGAAAGATAATCTTTCTCTCTCCATTGACTTCAATGCATAACTTTTCCGAAATAAGGTCCCATGGAGGTCCACCGGAAGGGGAGGGACTTCGCCACTCTATTGGCTAGTGTACCAACAAATCATGCGTGATTGGCAGCAGGACATTTCTTAAGTGGTTGACCAATCAGAACAGAGCCAGCCAGCTAACCAATCAGAGCGGACTGGGCTCTGGCTTCTCTGGCCCCTCTGCAGTCAGATTAAAGAGTTTAAAATGTGATATGTCACTCCATTTGTATTTTGTGTTAAGTTCAGCTATTCAGATATCTCTTTTAAAACTGCACATCTCTCCCACTTGAAATGCTGATAAACGATATATTTTTAAGTCTTGTTTGACTTACTTTTCTGTTTATTTATATTTCATGGTACGATAGCTTCTTATTTTCCTTTTTTTCAAAGCAAATTCCTTTTTTGTAGCAATAAAATCTGATATTTATTTACTTTGATTTGACTTAAGTCCTAACAGTTATTGTATAGAAACTCTGTGTTGTTGCGTTCTGTCATGTACCCTGTAGTTTATTGTGTGTTTCTGGTCCTCAGCTACACCATAGTGTTGATCTACTACGCCTTCTGCTTGGTGCTGATGATGCTGCTGCGCCCTCTGCTGGTGAAGAAGATAGCGTGTGGACTGGGCAAATCGGATCGCTTCAAGAGCATCTACGCTGCTCTCTACTTCTTCCCTATCCTCACCGTGCTGCAGGCGGTGGGCGGAGGGCTGCTCTGTGAGTACTGAGGGAAAATACAAATACTCAGTAGTGTGTGTTGAGCTGTGTGTGACAGTTTGTGTGTTTCAGACTACGCCTTCCCCTACATCATACTGGTGCTGTCCCTGGTCACGCTGGCTGTGTACATGTCCGCCTCTGAGATTCAGGTAACGACACTCACTGCTCTGTGTGGGTTTCTGATATGTATTTTATTGTTGTACACCGAAACGTGAACATCTCTTAAGGAAGTGCAAAACCACAGACCTAATTTAAGGCCTTTAAACAGAAAACAAAACAAAAAGTGAGCTGGAAGTGATCAAATGCAGACTAATTTCCCTTTTTTACAACTCATTCCTGCACCACTGTGTTGCTAGAAGTCATTACCTCAGTGGGCAAAAAAAGAAGCTAAATTGTTGTGTTTTATAAAACACAGTGATATTTCGGGAATATAACCAAAAACTCATAAAAAAAAATGTTGTCTTCGAGACAAGGGAATGGGAAGTTTAAGACCAACTCACTTCCGTGTTTGAGGACTCATTCCTGCACATCTCTGTTATAAACAGTACAAAAAAGCACTCGGGATGAATGCAAACCTAATTTGTGTGTGTTTGTGTGCAGTCCTTTAAGAACCTGATTGCCAAGAAGAAGCGTCTGGTCGTGCTGTTCAGCCATTGGCTGCTCCACGCGTACGGCATCATCTCTATCTCCCGATTGGACAAGCTGGAGCAGGACCTGCCGCTGTTGGCCCTGGTGCCCTGCCCCGCCCTCTTCTACATCGCCACGGCCAGGTTCACGGAGCCCAGCCGCATCCTGTCAGAGGGCGGGAACGGGCACTGACCACACGGATAAAATGTGTCTTTGATACGATCCAAGCCGGCAGTACGGTGGAGGCAGTTTTCGTAGAATCGTGTTCTATTTTCACATCTTGCCTGCCTGTCTTATATTTCTTTTGCATTTTCCTTAAGTGTCTTGAGAAATGCATTTGTTAACTTCTTTGTAAATACAGTGTATGTTGTAAATGGAGATTGAAGGTGGTCGTGATGAAGAGCTAACTATATAACAAAGTGTTTCTTTTAGAACATCTTATTTCATGACTCTTCGGAACATCAGTATTGTGGCTGGTAATGTTATATGGCCGTGCTCAATTTGTATGAAACTTATTTTAAAAGTTTTCTGTTTGTATATAATTGGTATGTTTTTTCTTCTGGGATACTTGTGTTTTTATTTCAGAGAATATGCTATTTTATTCTCGTAAATGTACGTCTTTGGTCTGAATTTGTGTCTTTACTTTCAGACAGTATCCAAATATTATTTCATTAATTTACGTCTTAAATCGCAAAGAATATCCACTTTTTTCCCCGGGTTATTTTCTCTTTAATCTCGGAAAATATTAAATATATTTTTTTAGATTTTCATATTTTTTCTCAAAGAAAATACAATCATTTTTATCGTTATTTTTCCTTGGATATTTGATTTCTAATGTCATATTCAATTTTTTTTTCATTTTATTTTGTATTTTTCCTGTTTTGTTCAAAACCAGCCAAGAGATAGGAAGAGAGCCTGTACGTGAAGCTGAATGATGGATCGTATCCACACACACACACACACACACACACACAAAATAAACATAAACATGTATTTAAAACACACTGAGACACAAGGAAGCACCTCTCTATAGCCTTCAATGATGTGTCATTGAAGCGGCTGTATATGATTGTTATTGTAAATATATTTATGTAAGCTTGTTAATATCCGTGTTTTCAGTATGGTTTGCACATGCACACGCTCAAAGTACAAATAAATGTTTCACAACAGAGAGAAAGGCTTTCAGTTCTGTTATTGACTGTTTAGTGAACCCTATTAAACCTCAACCATATATGAATCACCTTCATTATGGTTTTAAACATGCACCTGCAGTCACAGATCAATCAACAGAGCACACATTATTCCATGGTCAGAAAACAGCCTCAAACATGTTGAAAAAAAAAAATGGATACATAGTCAAAATGAATAGCCAAAAGTAATTAATACATTTTGGAGATAACTAGCTAAAGTAAATGAATAAATGGTAGATATAAATGGTTGAAAGAAAGAATAACAGGTAGAAATAGATAGCTTAAACTAATGGATACCTGTAATAAATAAATAGCCTAAAAAAATAGATAAGTGTTAAGTCCTGTGTTTCAGACTCTAGAGGAGAGTTTCTATCCGTCACATCAGAACATCCCTTTATTTATTCATTTTTGATCTTCTGTTCACTGACTTATTCACACCAAACACTTCTGCTTTTAATCAGCAGCGGCACTAAAGCTCAATATAAAGACCAAATAATCCATCAACTATTAGGTTATAACTGTTATTATTCATAAAGTACCCAGCATTTATTAAAGTCATTCGAATGATCTCCTGCTTTGCCAGCTGCCACATTAAAGTGATGAACTTATGAAGGCATCAATAACTATAATATTATTATTCTGCAGTATAAAAGTATTTACTTACTTTAGGTACATTTTATTCACACCTTACATGTTATTACACTCAATGAAGATCTATAATGTATACTCAGTGGTGTAACGTAGTGAAGTATATTTATTTATTGTACTTAAGTACAATTTTGGAGTACTTATACTTGACTTGAGTATTTTTATTTTATGCTTCTTTATACTTCTTCTCCACTACAATTTGGAAGCCAATGTTATACTTTTTACTCCACTCAACCACATTAGTTTCTACTTAGAAACTATACACACTCAACTTACTGGCTAAAACAAAAATATAAATAAATGAATAAATAAACTATGATAGCCTATATAAATATAGGTGACGGTATACAGCAGCAGTATACAAAGTCATTAAAAGTGGCTCCACCTTCACCAGCTGTGATGAACACATTAATCCATCAATAATAAAAATCCATTCATTTAAAGGTGGGGTAGGTAAATTTGAGAAACCGGCTCGAGATACACTTTTTGTTATATTCCATGGAATGCTCTTAACATCCCGATAGCAATGAATATCTCAAGTGCTTTGACAAAAAATCCATAAAAAAGTGTCATCTGTGGAAGCCGTAGTACTGTAAAAAGTACGACCAATCATTTTAGCCGGCCCGGCTAAAATAACTGGATGGCCTACCTGCCTGTCAGCCTTCCATCTGTGCACAAACTTATCTCGTGCCCTCATTGGTCATGTGCGCGTTCGTGTGTGTTGGAGGAGGGGCTCTGTAAGGAAGTGGCAGATTTTTTCCGGTTGTGTATTTTCAAATTCTAGCGCACTCGAGCTGGTTTCTCAAACTTACCTACCCCACCTTTAATAAATAAGACATTACACACAGTGAGTAGGCCTACTTTTACTTTTGGTACTTTAAGTATATTTTGATGCTAATACGTTTGTTTTGAATGCAGTACTTGTAGTATTTTCACACTGTAATATTTCTAATTTTACTTTAGTAAAGTATCTGAGTACTTCTATTATATACTATTTGTTATAATATACTATTGCAACTGGCTTTCCGCTCGGCGTGGTTCCGGGCTAGAGCCTGATTTAGCCCTGGTTCTTCCTGTTTCCACCGCAGCGGAGCCGGCTCTAAGTACCGAAAACCGGTTCTAGCTGGCCCCATTCGGCTGCCCGGCAAGTACCAATACTTCACACTTACGTCGGAGGGGGGCGAGATTAACCTGAGCAATAACAGTTAATGGCGAGTACGGCAAATACAAGTTGTACCAAGCATAAGCAAAAAAGCATTTTTTGTATTAACCTTTTTTATTTTTTTCTCTCACATACCCCCTGCAGTACCCCCCACGTACCCCTAGGGGTCCGCATACCCCCATTTGAGAATCACTGCTGTAGGACAGTAAACCAAAAATATCGTTTAAAACTGGAGAGATTAAAAAATATGGATAAATAAATAAATGTTAACTAGGTAAAATAAGTTGTAAATGAACAACAAAAATAAAGTACGTTACATTTATTTGTTATTGGCTATGGTAGGTTATTGGTTATGTTCATATACTTATTTGATTATTAAAATGCAAACCGATCTTTTTCAGATGGGTGTTTAGAGTTGTACCCCCTAGATCAGGTCTCTAGTAATTGTGTGCTCAAAGTGCACCAGATTGAAGCATTTTACTTAAAAATGTTCAAAAAAGTCTTCCCGGGGGGACATACCCCCGGACCCCCCTAGAGGATATGACGTCCACCCCTCAATTAAAACATGTTCATACGATACTGAATACATTTGAAGCCTTTTAATATAAGCTGTCCACCATGTCAATAAGTTTCTCTTTTTGTAGTGTAGCCTATTCGTCTTTTGTAGAGGTTTTTCATTTATTCCTTGAATACTCTATCGATCTTTATCTTTTCTACTGTACGTTTTTCAGGCTGTGGGGGGGGGCCTGGTGTCATCCCCACAGCACCCCCCATTTGAAACATGTTCCCACGGCTATGCGAGAAAGTATATTGGGATGAGCAAAACCATGTCACTTGGCCCAGGTGGTTTCCACAGAACGGACAAAACATGTTTAACGACCATAAACACACTCGTACCGTCCATAGGTACCGGCGGTCTATCCGCCAAAACAAACTTAAGTTTGTGTCAATCACTTGCACGTCACTTCTGGTATGATGGACATTCCCTTTCCGGTTTGATTCTCTAGTTTGTTAAAGTGTTTCGCATCTTGTTAATTTGTTTTTGTTAATGTTAAATAGTTTTTTCTTTGGTAAAAGTGTTTTGCTAATGTAATTTTGTTTTATAAAATGTAAATGTGTTTTATAAAATATAAATGTGTTTTATAAAATGTAAATTTGTCTCAAGCTTTGTTAAAGTGTTTCACACTTTGTAATTGTCGTTTGCACTTCTCAGTCACCATAAAAAACAGACTCTTACTCTCTCTAAATAAATGATATCCCAAATCAAAAACTAAATTGAAGAAATAACATCTAGTAGTCACATCATACATTTAAAAAAGAATAGCACTTTAAGAGTTAAGACCATTTGAAAATAATGCACCAGCATTTACAATGGTTTGGCTTGTTTGAAGCGAATATATCAGCACTGTCCTTGTTCTATCTATCTTCATGGTTTATTGAACTTATTGCAAGTCGCTTTGGCTAAAAGGGTTAGCTCACAGCTTGACATCAGTTGTAGAATATCTAGCAAGGCATCAAACTTCCATCAACCTAGCATACTAGAAGTATCGTTTTGGTGGTACCACTCCACGACAGTTAGAGAGTTTGACAAATAAAGAACCTTGAACCTTGAACCAGAGGGCGACACATCCACCGAAAGCCTCATTTAAAGGATAACAATTTATTAACATATTAATAAAAGCTGCAGTGAACAGTAATAATAGTAGGCCTATAACGCATAGCATAAAAAAAATGATGATTTAAAAGAAAATCACTGATATGAAATACAAATTTACAAATGAATTACAATATAATAAGTTCATCTAAATCAGGGGTCTGCAACCTTTTCCACCAATTTTGTTTGTCTTGATTGCTTATAAAGTTGTATATATTGTTACATCAAAGACAACAACTACAGTTTTTTTGCATTTATTATTTATTACATTATAGAAAACTGCTTACCTCTAATAATAAACAAATAACTCATATAAGGAGAATTAAAAAAAATACACAGGCCTACTTTCAAATAAATCAACACAGCACTTGGGGAGTCCTCTGCACATTTGAAGAAAATGAATTAAAATGGGCCCACTTTGAAATAAATAAAACATAGCTGCACCCTAAAAAGAGTTAACTGATTGAATTATGATGAAGATCGTCAGCTGTCTTCCTCTTCCGTGTTTTCCTCCAATACGTAAAGGCTGCAGCACCTTTGATAACTTCTCTCCACATATCAAACATACCGGTAAGCCAGCATCGTTTGCTGTGAAAGCAGATAACTCTAACCACGCAGAATGAAACCCTCTGTGTTCCTCCGATAAGCCATAGTTTCATATTGGTAACTGTGGTTGATTTGGTTTTGATTGATGCTGAAATATGACTTGTGCTTTGTTGGTTTTGTAATATCAGAGATATAGACAGAGATATCTGTTTTGTTTGACTTAAGCCAGGGGTCGGCAACCCACGGCTCTCGAGCCACATGCAGCTCTTTAAGCCCTCTGCTCTGGCTCCCTTGAGCTTAGACAAAAATAAGAAGGAAATAAAATAAAAATATTTGTAGGACTATTTATATTTTGTTGAAAATGTTCCGTATCTTGTATTTTGAGGTGATACTGTGACACATAAATAAAAAACAAAACGGTTTTAATTAGGTGAACTAAAAGATGCGTCACATCCTGCTACGGTCCCGCGCCACTGGCACCAGCGCCTTTTCTTACAGGCGAATAACCTGAGCCCCGGCTCGATGAGCGAACTATGGATACATCAAAGAAAAGAAAAGTATCTGAGGAACACAGAGGGTTTCATTCTGCGTGGTTAGAGTTATCTGCTTTCACAGCAAACGATGCTGGCTTACCGGTATGTTTGATATGTGGAGAGAAGTTATCAAAGGTGCTGCAGCCTTTACGCATTGGAGGAACAACACGGAAGAGGAAGACAGCTGACGATCTTCTGTCATAATTTAATCAGATGTCTAAGAAGACTAAACTGTTTTTAGGCTGCAAATACAGTATCTGGCAGAATTCTTCTGAGTTTCTGCCGGTGGACATTGTGGAACGCTTCTCTTCTGCAGTGTTTACCATTACCATGGAGCTGCTCGGGTGGGGGGCGGAGAGCCAGAAACACATCTGCGAAGGGGCGTGGCCAGCAGCAGCTCATTATCATTTAAAGCTACAGACACAGAATCAGCACTTTTG